AGTGCTGGGATTAAAGGCGTGCGCCACCACCGCCCAGCCAAGCAAAGACTTTTTAATGAATATATTTTACAAATACACTGAAGAATCATGCAATCCTGCTTGCATTGGACGTAATCCTGGTCTGCAAGTCTGCACATTGCTTTGCAACTGGACCTGTGATAGCCGAATCTTTTATCTTGCCTTTATTGTTTACTACGACTCCTCCATTGTCTTCAAAATAAAGAAACACCCCATCTTTTCTTTGATATGACTTTCATTGTCGAATTACCACTGCTACATGGACCGTTTTTTCTTAGTTCTGCTTTGCCTTTCTTAACCGTGGCCATCACCATGTTACTCACACCTGTAGCAGGAAGTCCCTTGATTCCCTTAACAGAGATGATATACAAATTTTTGGCTCCTGTATTGTCAGCACAGCTGATCACAGCTCCTACTGGAAGACCCAAGGGAATCTGGAATTTCGCTCTGGAGGACCCACCACGTCTTCGCTTCAACATCTTGAATGCCCAGTAATGACTTTTTTCATCTCTTGCAATTCCTCTCAGATGTTAACCCACCCAACTTTACATTCTCTCTCTTCTCTTTAAAAATACAAAAATGAAACTCAAAACAATAAAAAGTTAAGAAAAAATGAATTAAAACTAAACAAAAAGCTCAGACTATATATATCATACAGTCACACACACACACACACACACACATAAAATCCTGGAGTTGTTTTGTGCTGGAACCTGTGCATGGAACCTGTCATGGAATGTGGTTGATAAAACCAGGGACACTTCATTGGAGAAAATTGATTCTCCCTCTGCCAGCAGGTATCAATTTCAAATAGCATCTCAGAGGTGGGTCCTCATGTCTTTTCTTTCTCAGTGCTAGGACAATGTGGATTGAATCCATGCAAGTCTTGTGCTTGCAACCACAGTCTATTTGAGTTCAAACATGCATAAGTCCTAGAGTGTCTGGAAGAAACTGTTGCTTTGAAGTCATCCATTCCTTTTATCTCTTAAGAACTTTGCACTCTTTCTTCCTTGTAGAACACTTAGCCTTGAAGGAAGGAGTTTGATAAAGATATCCCCTTTAGGACTGAGTACTCTAAAGTGTCTCACTCTCTAAATGTTGTCCATTTGTGAGTCTTTTTGTTAATTCCCATCTACTGCAAAAAGCTTCTCTGTTGAGAGTTGAGTGAGGCATTGAACTATGGGTATAGCAATATATCGTTAGAAATCATTTTTTGCAAGATTTTACTTTATTTAATTACAGTATTTGAATTGACTAAGACACTTCTGTTGAATTCATTGTATAATCTAGGTGCTTAAAACTTCTTTTGCCTTAATTTTGAATATGTAACATAAAGAATTTTCACACATAACCAATTTGTAATTCCATAGGTTTCACACAAATTTGAAAGGTATCGTTTCCTCAAATATGTTAATGTATTCACAATTTTTTTAAGTAAATTTATTTTACAACATCATTTAGTTCAACATAATAGCCACAGATTCCCCTGTTCTCCCCCTCTCGCCCCCCCTCCCCCTAGCCCATCCCCCCCTTCCCACCTCCTCCAGATCAAGGTCTCCCCCAAGGACCGGGGTCGACCTGGTAGAGTCAGTTCAGGCAGGTCCAGTCCCCCGCTCCCAGACCGAGCCAAGCGTCCCTGCATAGGTCCCAGGATTCAAAGAGCCAACTCATGCAACTAGCCCAGGACCCGGCACCAACACACAGCTGCCTCCCAAACAGATCAAGCCAAATGACTGTCTCACCCGTTCAGGGGGCCTGATCCAGTTGGGGGCCCCTCAGCCTTTGGTTCATAGATCCTGTGCTTCCATTCCAAATGAATAGAAATCATTTTAATGCTATGTTCTCTTAGCAGAAAATTGTAGGTCTTCCCCTAGGACTATGACCTGTCTAGACTGAGATTCTTGGCCATAATTATCAGTTTAAGATATGAGTTCCATCTCATGGAGTGGGCCTTAAAAAAAATAAAAAGTAGTTGGTTACCTCCATAAAATTTATGTCTCTATTTAACCAGTATATCTTGTAGGCAGGTCACTACTGTAGGGCACAGAGTATGCAGAGTACCTTACAGCGCAGTGAATTTTATTCAGTAGGGGGTGAAGTTTCCAGTTGATCAATAGCTTGAATTCTCAAGGTTCAGTGACATAAGTAAGCAATATGATCATACCCTTAGGTTATAGAGAGAATTCAATACCCTTGGCAACAGCCTGTGATGTTTGGTGGTCGGTGGGTGGGTGTTCCATTGGAATCCTGTGTCCAATGATTTAATAAGAAATAACTTATTCCTAGAACTGGAGGTGTTACTTGGTGGCATAAGATGTCTATTTGGGGCGTCTCCCCCTTTATACAGTTATTTCATTTAAATTCCTTTCAAATACACAAATACATATACATACAGAAGTTTTTACAGGCTTTTTATAAGGTCTTTCATCCTAACAATGTTAATTGTTCCTTTCCATATTTGTTGCTATAACCCTATCTCCCATTTTCCTTCCCACTTAATCTTGCTATTCTAGTTTCATCTTTATTTCACCATAACACTATATTCTACTTCTCTTCCTTGGAGGATCCTCCTCTCCCTCCTAGGACCTTACTAGCTATCTAACTGCTGTAATTATTTGGATTGCTTAAAAAGTAAAATTCATGTAGAAAAGAATGGATAAAATATTTGTCTTTATGGATCTGTGTTACCTCACTTGGGAATAATTTTTTCTATTTCCATAAATTTACATGCAAATTTCATAATTTAATTTTTCTTTTTCTTTTTTTTTTTTTTTTTTGGTTTTTTTTTCGAGACAGGGTTTCTCTGTGTAGCTTTGCGCCTTTCCTGGGACTCACTTGGTAGCCCAGGCTGGCCTCGAACTCACAGAGATCCGCCTGCCTCTGCCTCCCGAGTGCTGGGATTAAAGGCGTGCGCCACCACCGCCCGGCAATTTAATTTTTCTTAACAGCTGAATAATATTCCATTGTATGAATATACTACATTTTCCTTATCTATTCATTAGTTGATGGGCAATAAAATTGTTGTCCACTACTGCTATTTCTGTTGTTATTGATGTCCAGCTTTAATCTATAGTGGTCATAAAAAATGCAGGGTATTATTCAGTTTCCTTCTATCTGCTGAGACTTTCTTTGTGTTTTCAACTTTAAAGAAAAGGAGGTACTGAGAAGTCAAAGTATTCTGTTGTGTTTGGGTGGAATGTTCTATAAATGTTTGCTAGGTCTATTTGTTTTATATCATTATTTAACTCTAGCATTTCTCTGCGTCATTTTTGTCTGGAAGATCTGACTATTTGTGTGAGTTGAGTTTTGAAGTCATCAACTATCATTAAGTGATGGTTTATATGTGCTTTTGCCTATAGCAGTGCTTCTTTTATGAACTTGAGTGCTTTTGTGTTTGGTGCATAAATATCTAGAATTTTAAAATCCTCTTGATGAATTTTTCCTTCAGTAAATATGTAGTATACTTCACTATCTCTAATGATGAGTTTTGATTTAATGTCTATTTCATAAGATATTAAAGTAGTTATACCACCTTGCTTCTTTGTTCCATTTGCTTGAAATAAATTTTTCTATCTTTTTCTCCTGAGGAGATGCCTGTCCTCAATGATGAAGTGTATTTCTTAGATGCAGCAGAGAGATGCATGCTGTTTTCCAATCAATATATTAGTCACTGTCTATTGGAAAATTGAGGTCTTTAATGTTAAAGAGTTATCGATGAGTAGTGTTTATTGACTCCTGTTATTTTGTTGTTGAGGTGTGGTTTTCCCCCTCTTTTATTTACTCTTCTGGAATTATTTATTCTTTGTGTTTTCTTGTGTGTAGTTAATTTCTTCAGGCAGACATTTTTATTTTTGCTTTTTCTAGTGCCTGTTGTAGAACTAGACTAGTGAATACAAATTGCTTAAATCTGGTTTATCATGAATGTTTTTCTTTATTTATTGAAATTGATATTTATCCATGGTATAGTGGTCTGGGTTGGCACCTGTAGTCTCTCAATGTCTGTAGAATATTGCAAGGGCTCTTCTGAATATCAGAGTCTCCATTGAGAAGTCATGTGTTATTCTAATAGGCCTGTCTTTATATGTAAGTCTATGTTTTTCCCTTAAATGTTTTTTGGTTTTTTTTGTTTGTTTGTTTGGTTGGTTTTTTGAGACAGGGTTTCTCTATGTAGCTTTGTGCCTTTCCTGGATCTCCCTCTGTAGACCAGGCTAGCCTTGAACTCACAGAGATCCACCTGCCTCTGCCTCCCAAGTGCTGGGCTTAAAGGCATGTGCCACCACCACCCAGCTCCTTAAAGGTCTTAATATACTGTTTTTATTTCTGTACATTTAATGTTTTGATTATTATGTGTTATGGGGGATTTCATTTTTGGTCCTCTCTATCTGGTGTTCTGTGTGATTCTTGTAAGTTTATAGGCATCTCTTTGTTTAGATTGGAGATATTTTTTTTCTGATTTTGTTAAAATTCCTTTCTGTGCCTTTGACCTGGGTTTTTCCCCTTCTTTTACACCTATTATTTGTAGGTCTGGTCTTTTCATAGAGCCTCGGATTTTGCAGATGTTTTGTGCTGCATTTTTTTCAGATTTAACATTTTATTTGACTAGGCTATCTTTTTCTTCTACTTTGTCTTTAAGAATGGAAATTCTTTCTTCTGTGACTTTCATTTTTTCGTGAGACTTACCTCTAAGGTTTTTGCTTGACATCCTAAGTTTTCCATTTCCAGTTTTATTTCAGTTGAATTTTCTCTAGTGAATCTGTATTTTTTTCAGATTTCAGATTATATGACTTCATTGAAAGAAAACAAACCTCTACCAAAATTATTAGAATTCATAAATAAATTATGATGCAAGATGCAAGAAGAACACATGTCAGCATTTCATATATCAATAATGAAATTACTGGGAAAGAAATCATGAAAAAACACCATTCACAGAAGTTATAAAGATACCTAGGAATGCATTTAACCAAAACATGAAAAGACCTCTATAATTAAAATTATAAAATACTTTAAAAAAGAAATAATAGGGATGTCCTTCATGTTCATTCATTGGAAGAACTGATATTTTTTATCTTTCTTTTTATTGAAAATTTTTTTTCTCATACAATAAATCTTTATTACAGTTTTGTAGCCTGAAGTTTCTCTGTCCTACCCAGCCCTGGGGTCCCCAGTTTCTCCTCTCCTGCCCAGCCCTGCAGTCCTGCAGCCACTTATAAAAATAATCACTCAGAGGCTTAATATTAATTGCAAATGCTGTGGCCTACTGGCTCAGGCTTCTTGCTAGCTAGCTCTTACAACTTAACTCAACCCATAACTATTAATCTATGTATTGCCACATGTTCCATGGCTTTACCTGCATCCCATTACATGTTGCTCCTTGGATGGTGATTTGGCATCTCCCCTTACTCTTCTTTTTCCTTTCACTATACCTCTTGAATTTTCCTGCCTGGCTCCATCCTTCCCTGACACAGGCCAGTGCAGC